CTTACTTATGTTTCTCTACGCCGTTGGAACGTTCCCGCCATTACGCGGATATTAACCGTCGCTCGAGCACTTTTCTTCGCCAGTATGAGAAAAGTTTCCCGCGCGTACCGAGATGATTGTTCGAGCGCGTGATTTACGGCGATCGATGCGACCGCCGTCTCGTGTCCAGGGGAACGAATTTTGATGAATTCGGGAAAATTTAAATAGCTGGAACTCTTATTTTTTCGGAAATAAAAGTTTCGACGGTAAATAGCGAGAAGTTATGGAGAGTTCGGGAATGGATTATCGGGTGACGCGGGAAGGGGAATATTGGGGAATTATCGGGCTTGAAGGCAATAGATCGTGAAAAGTTTCACTCAAGTTTGCGGACTGTAAATTGTTTTAGGGAGGTATCGAACGGAACGGGGTTTAAAAATATAGTTCTTTTTTATTTCCATCTTTTTATTTGTGTAATGATGAAAGTATACAGAGAATATACATATAGTAGAGGACAACAGTTTGCGAACCGCAGAAGAGTCAAAGAGTCTGCATGCGAAAATGTTACATTACACAACAGTAAATGAAAATAAAATGATATGTATTATTAATTACCCAATAAATAAACTTAAACAAAGTGGATTAAGACATTAAACTAACATTTACAGCAGTTACTTAAAATCTTCTATAATAACGTATATACCTACATTTGGAATTCTCTTGTTCGCATACGTCTCTTACTCTAATTATTAACAATAACGAAACTTTAGAATTTTCAAGACTTTTTATAGAATCTCTGATTAAACAGAAATTCATATATACCATTGAGAATCTTGGGTGAATAATTAATTAAATTTCCATTAGGAATTTCCGTTACCCGATCGCGTCTGGCACGTGTACAACAAACGATAAAGTCCATAATTCAATACTAACGTACATAAAATGAAGGTTGAACCTGTTCTCGATAAAATTGAAAACTAGAACATCGGAGTATCAAACACGAGTAAGACGGACGGGTCACAAAATACTGTCCAAAATGGCGGGGGCCGGACTATTGTCAAGTAGGAGCACGTCCTTTGCAAAGCGTCATGCCTTCTCAATAAAGTGAGACACCCCAAGCCTGCTGCACCACTCTCCAGATCGGCCTATTAAATGGATGGTGAGTGCCAGCAATATTGAGTTACGTGGCAATACCCTAAATTGCTTGACCGCCCTAGCATCGCCACAAGCGCCACACGGTCTTCACTTCAATACTCGTCGGTGGCATCGATCGCAACGATAATTACTGCCCCGATGGAGTGCATCAAATACCTCTGTTCTTATTGCAAGATGCACCAGCTGACAAAGATATTACCGTAGGTGCTAGACGAGCATGGAAATATGCACACAAAGTGTGAATAACCACACGGGGACATTGCTGTATTTGAACGGTGCTAGAATCGTCATTGAAATGAATACTAACTACATAGTATCGCAATTATTTTGTTGGAAATTGAATATAGTACACAGGGTGATTCAACGAGAGAATAAGAAAGTTTCATAGATTATGTGGCTGGTCATTCAGAATAGAACATGTTATATGTATAAACATTAGATCTTATTTTTAATACTTACGTAGTTATAACGTTTAAAGGCTTTACTGCTGTAATAATAAAATTACGGTTTAAAGACAAAATTAAATAGGACATTATATGAACTTTTTTTGTTGTTTAGATGGCTGAAGTCACCCCTAAAATATTTCCCACTTACTCTGGGACACCGTATGCATGAAGTTTCACGTGATACAAGCTGTCGTTCTATTATCCGAACACTTTTTGTTTACCTACTAGTTCCACTAATCGAGGTTCTACTGTAATATTCTATTTCATAATTCGAAATATGTACATAGCTACGAGGTGGGAAGAAAGGGGGTGGACGATTGTTTCCCAGAACAGCGTCAGAGGCACTAGGTCATCGCAGCCGAAGTATGTTGACAAGTCGCAAACAGGGCATAGCTCATGTTCCAAATTACAATGCCAGCCAGCTGGTAGTGATCTGTTAAGGGCTGCCTTGACTAACGACCGATAAAGCCGATCGTGAGCCAATCAAACGGCGTTTAATTGAATCGTAAATTGACTTCAAACAACGATCGGATGGAATTCGTTGAACCGCAGATGCTGATCAAATCGGGAGGAAGAGTGCTGCCGCGGGAACGGTTGCTCCGAAGACGTGCGTGCGCGCACACACACACATGCACACGTTCTAATCACGATTCGCCCGCAATTTTGTCGAGACCGTTCCGCGCGAAGTTTCTCGACGCGAACTTACATGCACCGCTGGCGAATTCAACTTTCCCTCCCTGTTCGTCCGTCCGACCGATCGATCCCGTTACATCCGTAAACGCGGCGAGAATTTGATTATAACTTGGCGAATGCTTATCGTTTGATCGAATTGAAGCTGGAGGCAACTCGCGAAATTGTTCGAGAATTGAATTGATTTCCTGCCGGACATTCGAAACTTCCAAACGAAGAAACGTAACTCGAGTATGAGTTCTGCACACGGAAGTACAAGGGTCTCTGGGTGAATGAATAGCGTTGGAAGTTGTGATAATTCATCTAAAATGTAGGGCAGTATATTATTTTTAATCACTTTTAAATCTGGTTTTCGTTGTAACTACGAGGGGTGTTTTTCAAATTGTGGGAATTGTGTTATAAATTTTTTATTATATTCATTTTCGTCTCTATTGCTTGTGTATCCAAGGAAAAATTTCTAGCTCGATTATCTCGAAAACATCACCCAACAAAATGTTATTCTTTTTTTTTCGACTTGTTTTGTCTTATAGAATCACTTCGTGCATGATCGTACAGCCCGACCCAACACACGTCATACACATTTTAATTCCCTTTTCTATAAATTTACGGTAAAACTAAAAAAGTGACCGTATTTCTGTAGGTGGTAGTAATTGCGATATCAGTAATTCGATCGAACGCGTTGTACGAGTGTCAATAATAGCTTTAGAAACCTATTTTTGAAACAAATGGATTTATAAACAAAAATAGAGGTTCAGAAAGTTACAAGTTTTTCCTTGAATTAAACATATTAAATAATAATCAATACAAACAAACTATATGCAATAATGTCAGTGTCACTTCTTAAAGTGTCAGTAATTGGGTCTTTCACCCTATCTACAAAAATCTGTATTTTCATAGAAATTCACGGCCTAATCATAACTTCCTCGTAACGTCTTCGTGAACGTCTAAGGTGCTCCAAATAAAAATAGGAATTATACTGAAAGAAAGATGATGCGACAGTTTTTGCAACTTATTGATGTTTCAAATATATAAATCAATTTATAGTTTATAATTCTCCTACTCAACTCTCCACAAATGTGTTCCATAACGTCAAAAACAGTTATTGTTAGTTCCGAAATTGATTAATACCTTTTTTCTCGCTATGGTGACTAACACAGACTCCTGTTTCTTTAACCACATTCTTTTTCAACACTATGCACACAACAAATTATGGAAGGTCTTTTTAATATCGCGTAAAATTTCACGGCGAAATGATCAGACTTCTTCGCCCCGGTGTTGGCAGCGACTTTTAAAGGCAACTAGGTAAATTTATTAGCGACGCCTGTCGATACTTCCGCGACGTTACTAATTTTCAAAGTTCAATGCATTGTGCACGGGGCACAATTAAGCTTAATAGCGCCCGGTCCGGTAAGATTCCTGGGAAGAACAATGCGTCGATATCGGGTCTTCATTGTCCGTGGACGCGGGATAAGGGACAATCTCGGGGTCGGCTAATAATTAAAATAGTTTCCGTGTAACTTCCCGATGGTGCTTCGCCCCGAGTTTCGCAAGTACACTGGTCCATGCTCGCTACGGGACTATTCTTATTAACGACTTCGTCTTAATCGCATTTTATTCTTATTTAGAGCGGGGCCAACATCCCCGGGTCTACAAGAACTCTTGGGAACAAGTAAATATCATAAATTGAAAAGTGACTCCGGGAACTTTGGCGTATCAGCTGTTTTATGGAACGATCGAAATTACGATGGGACGACCAATACACAAGATCGTTAACACTAGAGAACACGCGTGTATTTGGCGAACATTTTTACGTAATATTCGTTAATAATGGTTGTTTACAATCTAAGTTCTAATCCTAACTTCCTCATTATGAAATACACAGAATATAGAAAAATGTCAAGACACTGGTGGGAATAAGATGGCCGCGTGTATTCTAACATTAAAGGGATTTTTGGTCGTCGAAACAATACTTCCTATTTTGATAATATGTATGAAGACTAATTGGTCGAATTACAGTTAACTTCTACCACAGACAGTTAAATTCAATAAATAATAGGAGTTCACGCATGATACTAGTACTTTTATCGTAAGAAAATAATTTCATTTAGAATCTTTGAAGTATAGGTATAATGTCATAAGTAGACTGCAGAACTTTATGCAAATTAGCAACTTTAAATACTAATATATGAAAACTCAGATTGGACAAAACATCCGATCCTATTGTATTCGGCATCTTACTGCTTTAATAACAATACATACATAGCATTGAACTTTATTAATTCACTTTAATTCGCTTTATTTTTTCACTTTAATCCGTTTCGCAATTTGGAGTATGCTATAAATGTATAAACATCTGCAGTTTGGTTATAAGAGTTTCATTTAATACGTCAGGAGCAATGAAATAACAATCATACAGATTAAAAACTCTTTGTTTATACAAGCAACCCCCGTATAACACGACATTTAGTCTGACACGATTAGAGAATTGAAGGAATCCCTGAATAACACGGTTAAAGAAATTTTGTTCGTTTTTGGTACCTAATTCTGTTGTTTATATGTATGTATAAACACGTACTAGTTCTTATGTTAGTTCGTATAACACGATAATGTTTAGTAACCTGACCACGTGTTATACGAGGGTTACCTGTATTGAAACTACATTGAATAGAAAATATGAATATTCAGCAGATTAATACCACAATTTTTATGTGTTCGCCGGTTTTTGTTTAATAGCTGATACACAACTTGGCAAGCAAGGCATACTGGAGTTCCGTACTCTTCACGTTGGCGGCTACTTGCACGCCGGAGAGGACATCCCGCACTTCGTCGGTCAACTGCAACAGATATGGTTCAACGGTTACGCTTACCTGGAAATAGCTAGGAGCTCCGGGAATCATCAGGCTTCACATCAAGGTGTCACGCCGATCATCAGGGTCACGGGGAAGTTCGGCAAGAGGAATCATCCGGTTCACTATCCCGTGACCTTCACCTCGAAACACACGTTCGTTGGATTACCTCTGCTTAAGGCATACGTGGAAACGAACATTTACTTCCAGGTAATACTTTTTAAATTTCATTCCTTATTTTATATTAGTCGAAATTACAATTGAAAAAATAATACTAGGGTAATTCATAAATATTGATTCATATACAGGGTGTAACAAAAATGTTGGAGGACCCGGAAATGGGAGACTCGTGAGATGATTTGAAACAAGTTTTCCCTTAGCAAAATTGTTACCCGAGGCTTTGTTAACAAGATATTAACGAAAAACCCCGACCAACCAGAGCGCGAGTCTGCTGGCCGAGTTCCCGCGGTAGCGTCGACTACTCGCGCTCTGATTGATCGGGGTTTTTCTTTAATATCTCGTTAACAAAGCTTCGAATAACATTTTTGCTAAGGAAAAACTTGTTTCAAATCACCTCACGAGTCTCTCATTTCCGAATGTTCATTGACAGTCTATTTTGTTTATCCATTTTATGGTGCGTTTAGACCATACGAACGAATGCTCGTTTTCGCCCCCTCTATTCGTTGTTCATTCACTTTTTCAATCACGCTTTCAATCAATACGCAAAATAATGCTCTTTTGTTTTAATTTGACTCAACGCACCTTTCGAGGCATTTGAGATACAGAAAAAACAAGTAACGTACATGAATTAGTGCTAGTCCAAAAGGCCAGATATAATGATAACCATTATGTCGCGAGATATTAGTTTATCAATTTGGGGATTCTAGGAGAATGCGAAAATCACCGACATTGTGAAATGTATCAATAATAATTATGAATCACCTTATGTAGTACTGTTAAGTTTTAGGAAACAAATAACCAAATTTCATTAATTCAATCGTTTGATTTATTATAACAGAATTCAAGTTGTCATTGATTGACAAAAGTTAACGACAAATACTTTCATATTGATAGAAATTGAATAGCCGATCGGTAAAGTGTTATAATTCTACTTACAAAGGAACATGTCGAAATGACAATCATTGACTTTCCATAGGACGTTTTTGTACTATTTGGGATATTACATAAATATAATATAAACTGAAAATATTCATTATTCAAGAAAATAGGAAAAATGAACATACACGAAAACTTTACCCTACTTGATTCCTTTATTTTAAAAAATGAAATATATTCTTCCCTTTTGGTGAAATTTCAATTTTTATTGCAGAAAGTATTTTATTTTTTCACGTGACGAGTATACTCCTCATTACCCAAAGAATAATCATTACCTCATGACGAGTATGGTCATCAAAAGCCGTGAAAAAGTTAAACACGATCCGTGTTTATTTAATATTATTTGCACCGAATAATCTCTCGCGAACGCCGTGCGATTTTTCCCATTCGTTCTGAATCAGCGTAACATGAACAAACATTTTACAATCAAGACTCAAGTTCGCGCTATCGAATCGACAGAAAAACCGAAATGTCGACGGTGATGCGTTCCCTGCAAAACGTTACCCCAATTAGACAATCTCCACCTGCCAGCCGACGCGTTTTGGTGCGCAAACTCCATGTTAATCGTGGCATATGTCACGTCGTTCAACGCAAAAACTTAATCGTTCCTCGTTTTACCGTGCCAACTGATAGACAAGCTCCTCTGGTCATCACATTCGTAATTACACGGACCCATAATTGACGGTTTTCTGCATTTTCCGACGTCTCTCATCAAAGTACCCGACTCCAGGGTTTTGTAATACCGCGGGAAAACGGGATCGACTTTTGCAATCAAACGCACCTGTTAGGAACTAGCATACCGGTTCTTTGTACACCCTCGTGTAAACATTTTCTGTGGCGTAGAATAGACAGTAAAATTACTGATGTGGGTCGGGACAATTAAAACGCGACATGGGATAGGTGTGATTATTTAATTTATCTACCTCGATGATTAACACTATAACTACAGATTTTTTGTTTTACAATTATAAAAACCGTAAAGATATTTTTGTCAAAGTTTATTTTGACCTCTAATTTATTCCAGATTTTATATTACATTATGTACTAAATTAAACCGATTTTATTACATATTACTATCTTATAAAATAAAATTGAATTTAATATACATTGAACGCGGATAGTTCTAGTGTTGATTATTTCTGATAAATTTGAAAATTAGATGTTCATTAATCTTACAAAACCACTTTAAGATCACATTCTTGGTGGCTACGTGTATTTTTGTGGCCCGCAATGACTGATATTTTGTACGAATTCAAAATATTGTCAAAATGTAAACAATTTTACATTTCTTTTTATATAATATATAGCGGGTCCTCCACTATGATTGTTCGGCTAAACGGTGAAATTTAAAAATTGAAATAACTAAATAATATAAATACATATTGTGCGGCCCCCGCGAATTCCAGTTGTTGAACAAATGGCCCGTGATTGAAATGAGTTTGACACCCTTGGTATAAATCAATATTTACAGAGTCATTTACTATTTTACCTACAGACCCTTTGTTTTATACATATAGAGAAAATTTTATTAGATGGAAAATTACAAGAATAAAGTATGTTATGCTATGAATTGAAACTTCCTCTTCATTAGAATATGAATTTATGGACAATAGTAATTGCATATTCCTTACTTTAACAGTACCTACAGTGAGTGTTAAAAGTATTCGTACACCTTTTAAAACGGAACAACTCTTTTAAAATTGGTCCAAATGAGTTGAGTTTTTTTGTGAAGTTAGAGACATTAATTTACTAAATGATGTAAAAACAAAAATTTGAAAAAGTTGCAATTGGTCCGAATCGCGAAGAAAATATTAAAGGTCGTGTTTTACAACTTTTTAATCAGAGGCTATAATGAAAATTTAATAAATACATTTGGACCAATTTTAACAGAGTTGTTCCGTTTTAAAAGGTGTACGAATACTTTTTACACCGACTGTATGTAAATATACGATTATGGTTCCTAGAGATAATAGAAGTTCAAGAAATACTTACCTGTACTACGAAACTTGTTTCGCTAATCCTCTTACAATGCATCGTCATCTGCACAATACGATACAGATAACATTGCTTCAATCTTGTTAATTGCGATTAAAACAGATTGTACGAGTAAGTGGGAGGTTCAAAGCAAAAATAAGCCAACGAAATGTCCACCACCCTCTAGAATAATTTCACCAATCCCGAACAATATGACTATACAAGAAGAATAATGTGGCTAAATAGACGCTTAATTTAATACCTACCATTTCTTTAGATTCCTAGATAACCATTCAAATATACCTACCAAAAATTCAAACTATGCAATGTCACAGTAATATGATACAATTTTACTGCTTCTACTTCATTAGTGTCAGATAAGATTCCTAATTACACATTAGACGTCGATCTTATCTCCTTCCTAAATTTGTCGTGTCGCGTTTCGCAACTACGAAAGATTGGTATACCTGATTTTCCCTGGATCCACCGTTACCGTGTATCACCCAAATACCATCATTCCAGTTTAAAACACGGGAAGCAAATGGGTTGATCCTGTTCAACGCCGGCCGGGAACGGGACTTCATCGCGGTGGAACTAGTGAACGGGCACGTTCACTATGTGTTCGATTTGGGGGACGGACCTGTCAGGGTCAGGGACAACTCAAAGTCGCGGCTGAACGACGGAAAATGGCACGCTGTTAGCATCGGCAGACCAGCACCTAAAAGGCACACACTCGCTGTCGATGATCATGTCACCGCTGTCAACAGTCAGGGCAGCAACGAAAACCTTGATCTGGATGGGATTCTTTATGTTGGTGAGTAAATGATTCGCCTTTTGTCTGGATGTTATATTCGCGAGAATAAATGATATTGTGGGATATGAAAAATTAGGTAATTTACACCAACGCTCATACAGTGACTCACAAATTTATTAACTATATAACAAATTTGATCGGACTATGTACCAAACTGAATTTTAGATTGAAATAAAGAAAATGTGATCACAAACAAATGAGGAACATGAAGATAACTGAGATACGTAGATAGAAATTCCATAATAATTTTTGCACCTGAGTGTTATTTCGAAAGTATATGGTCGAATGTGTGAGTCACTGTGTTAGGACACCTGGTCTGTATGACGAAAATATGATATCGCGTAAAAATAATATATTTTAGACCACTTTTATTAGTTGATGGTAGCATAATTATGTGGTGCATAATACATTCATACACATTCGGAGTTTCAGCAATTTTGTAATGCCTTGAAATATTTTTTACATATTTGTTAGTGCGCTAATACTTGTAAGCGAGGGTGTACATGGGTATTTTGAAATGTTCTTGGACTGGAATGTTCTATTTTTCAATATGATCTCCTTTAACATCGGTGTACTTGGATCGATAATATTTCAGTTTTATAGACCAACGTTTTGAACACTCTTGAGAAACTTGCATTTGATTTCGCTTTTAATCGATTGTTGAGTTAAGAGATGCGGCGCAGGATATAGAAGCACTTTTGCTTAAGCAACTAACTAAATAATATACTGACTTAACACGTTACAGTTATTTATATCATAAATGAAAATCTTTGATAAATTAAAAATTGATCGCCCCTTAGGTACTACCCCTGGTAGAAAGTATTATATCTCACAGGCGATCTGAACTATCGCAGTAATTATTTCACACATATGTATTAAAGATGAAAAATACTATTGTATACATTTTCATGTAGGATATATTAGCTTAAGTTAGCTAATATATAGTACCTTTTATTACTAGTACCTTCCGCTTTCCTGTTTTAAATTCATATTTATCCAATACGTCTTAAATTTAATATTACTATATTACACGTTATCAATCATTGGTGAATCCAGTAGTTGTTATTCAGTTTAAATATTCTTATTATTGTTACGATTTAATAATTATTTAATACTCTTTTAGTGTCTACGATGGAAGTTGATTACAACTTAATCAAATAGAATAGAATAATCGATTATATTATAAAGGGAATGTTAACAAAATGACTATACTGATTGTTAAACGCAGAAAAATATAATGTTGACTAGTATATGAAAAACACAAGAATCTTTGTAAATAATTTTATAAAATATTAGAATGTTTCTCATTTTCTCAATGAAAAAAATGGTAATAACATTGATCAGGAACCGTCTTCAACCCCTGGATATAATTGAACTCTTCGATCATTGTTCTACTTCCCCATTCTATATTTGAAAATAAATATGAACACATATTTTTATATCAATATTTTAGGTACGTATAAAGAACTTTTCCGTTCTACTTCTCCTACCATTAGTGAACATATGTTTTATACTCAATACGAGCATAAATTTTGCTGCAGACATTTATTCTGTTTGATCAAATGCTCTTTGCCAGGGGTAGTAGCTACATGGCTTATGAGTCGAGCGGCATAAATTGTAATTTCAATGTAATATAGAGTGTTTCCGAACAGTAAGTATGATTAATACATACTAACGGGAATAAAAAAAGTTTTATAGAAAAAGAGTTTTATTTCTGGCACATTTGCTTTGTCAGATCATACGTTAATATGTAAATAAGTTTGTCTGAAATAATAACATCCAAGAAAATTAGCAAAGATATTGTTATTATTGAAATTTATTAGAATGAGCCAGCGAAAATAACCATAAGTTTTGTTAACTTCACCAGTACATAAAGAATGCTCACGACATCTGTTAAGTGATGTGATTTCTTTTTATGGCATGTCTTTTTTCCTCCAAGAAATCTTCGTTTCATCGGAACCAACAAATTACGCCCTACCCAATAATTGTTTATCTTCAGCATATATATTGGACCTACCGAAGTATTATCGAACTTTGATAAGGAAAAAAGAAAGTATTAATACCCCGAAGGTGAAATATTACTTCATGAATCACGGGGAATTCCGAAAAACCTGGAATAATAAATCGCCCCCTAGCGAGCGTCGATTCTGTTGATATATCGTACGTTCGGATAAAAATCGGAAGCTAAGAATCGATGAGCACCGCGTAATAATGCAACAATGAAATCATCGATCAAATGTATCGACATATAACTCTGTCAACGTTGATGTGTGTAAGTCGTAGGGCAACAATGCATTCTGGTACCGTGTTATTATTATTTTCCATTGTACAAAACGACCAAAACAACTCTGAATAGTCCACTCATGGAAGACTTTGTCTGGTGTGAATCGAAAGAAAAATACATTGCCTATCTTTTGTAAATGATTTATTTTAGAAAAAAAGTGCAACATCACGTTTAGGAAGACGTCGAGATAGTTGAACTTCCCAGATTCGTCCGTCTGTTTAAATACGGATGTTACCTCAGTCTATGATCTGAAACAGAATGAAAATAAATTTAAAAAAATTTAAGAACGTCGTCGTGTACAGTATTCTAAAGCTACTCTAATTTCTTAAGTCTGATTGTTAAACTGCGGATTTTATGCATTTATAGCCCATAGGGCTCTGTGAAATGCAATAAAAGACAAAATTTTCATCGGATCCAATGATTTTTCTATTTTAGTTTGGACCCAATAAGATACTTAAGAGGAAAAATAAATTTCTACGTTAGCTCCTGTCTTTATAAATTTCATTACAAAAATATTAATTTGCATAAAAATCCACAATCTACTAATTGTAATTAATAGACTGAATATTTATGCATTGCAAAAATTTTAATCGAATATGACAAAATTTGTATTTTATGTTTAATCTATAAAATTCTTAATAGAGAAAACGAATCTCTGTTTAATCCGCATTTTCTTAAATTAGTCTGCAACATGGACGTTCACATCAGACAAGTTACAAGATTGATGAAATTTATTGACATGTCTATTTTATTTCATCCGCAGGCTCATTATAAAATTAAAATTGAGATCAATTGTGAAGATTTTAAGGAATCGTCTTTTTAATATACTGAAAATTTATCCGCGCTTTTGTATACTAAACTCTAATAAGATAAATATGCATAAACATCCGTAATCTAAATATAAAAGTAACATTGGTATCAATTGCAACAAATTTAGAGAATCATCACTGCAAATGATGTTTCCCTTGAATTACCATTTTTATCGTTAAAAAGAATGTTCTACATGAACGATGAAATTAAAGTTACAAATTATTATCATTTATTACTAAATAAATATTTATCTCTAACAAAGTAAAGACTCTACACCCTTTTAAAAAAATTTTACCAAATAAGTCGATGTGAAAACTTAATATTTCAATATTATTTCATTCTCCATATTTCATTCACTCAGTCAATCGACTCCCTCTAAAAACAAGATCCCACGAACGTCTCAAACAACGCATTAAATCTCAACGCGATTGTAAACCGCATCGACCAATCAGAATCACCATCTGTAACTACCATCAGTTTCAATATCAATGGAGTAAGTACAGAACCAACCACCGTTCCCTGCTACGATCGTAAACCTTCCAGTCGCTGGCGGTTTAATTTTAGTCCAACAGTAACAGACTTGTCAATATTTATCAACGTTAACAGTTGTCAACGCAAGAAACGAGTGTGCTCGACACCTGTGACACAAGATCGTCTGAAGAGACAAAAAAACGCCACGACTTACATAATATCCCTGCATCGGCCAGTTGGATCTTTCCTCTGGCCCGGAGGACAGTCGTACGATGGAGGATCGATGATAGTTCTGCTGTCCAATTGCGGGCTCTTCGAATTTTTCGATATATTCACCACGTTCTCGTCGTTTCGACCGATTTCGTTCTCGCCCACATTATCATCGATCTTATTCCCGGACCTGTTGTGATCCAGCGACTCCATGTTCGTCGGCTTGTAATTCTGATACGAGATCTTGTACTCTATGCTGATGGCCAGATTTTCGTTCTGTGGCGACACGTGACCCTTCAACACTTGGATCTCGATCCCCGGCGGCTGCAACTTCTGCGACGGGGCAGCCCTCCACCTGTCCGGTACATATTCGGGCAACGTATCACGATCGAACTGACCGAAATCGAATTTCGGGTATCGATAGAGACTCCTGTCTTCGGGGACCGCCGATAACACTACCGAGAAACAGGCGATAAAGAGGATCAAGAAGACGCTACCCGAACGTGACACACACGTCAAATTCCGCATGTTTGTGGGAAGATCGATGGACGATCGGTACTATACACGGTATCCAGGCGATAACTACGCCACTCCTTTCGGTTCGGCAAACTCGAGATATCGTTATCGACGATTCTTCGCCACCAGAAACACGTTCCACGTAGAATTGGACACACTCGATCGGACGTGCGAAGCAACGGAGCCGATCTTCGAGCATCGACTGGCGCTTTAAGAATCCAATTATCCGTTTTTCGCGAACGCTGGTGGCGAACCGCGTATCCGGTCTTCAACCGCAGCTCGATTTCGTGCAAATGAGATTACATTAATAAGGAGCTTTCTGCGGGCTCGCGTCAACCGTTTTACCCCTTCCAACGTCTCTGTCACGTCTGCCTTTTTAATTTGACGACGATCAAGGCGACGTTACGACGGTTCGGTAAATTACTGATACAGAAACCGTTCCGCGATAAGCTCGTTGATCGAGAATCGAAATTTTTACCAATACATCACTTGAGTACTTCGTGTTCCTTAATGAGGATGTGAAATGCTTCAGGGGATCCATTGTGTCACGTTGTTTACTCAATGCGAATGAAAAAATATTTTAATAATGCACGTAATAATGAGATGAATTTTTTTGTGGCTTGTACGAATGTATAAGATACAATGAATACATTCGACGAAGATTAGAATTTTTACCTATTTTTTATATCATGGATTCTCTAACAGGTGAAATAAATTCTTTTTTATTCTGGTTTTTTTAATAGTTTATGATAATGTTAATTTGCAATGTAATAATAATATTATATTGACATAGTAACATGGTCACTAACTTAAGAGAATATCATAGTGACAACCAATTCAGTATAAAGATATAAATCACGGGAAAAGATAAAATTGGGAGACCATCTGTAACGATAAAAATATAATTTACCACACAAACTGAGGAGAAAATTTTATTTTTATTTTCTATAATTTCATAAAAAGGTAATCTTATCTTGTTTATTGTCTTGTAATAATATTGTGGTGGAACTTTTTCATTTCCTTCTACCTCCGTCTTCAAGTATGTTATCGTTAGATAAACATAAATATTATTAGAGAATAATTGTAGGTCTAGAAAAAAAATAAATTCCATAGATTGAGACAAGTCAAAACGATAAGATATTTTCTGGGTGCACCCTTGTTGCCAGAAATAATGACGTTAAAAGTTAATACTCTAACAAAGCATGAAACGTTTAAACAAGTAAATTAGTTAATTATTTATTAAGAAATAATTGACAATTTAGGAAACGAAGTTTTTTGATATGCAACAATTTTCAGCTAAAAATAACGCCGACAATTCCGAATTGACACATCTACAGGGTATTTGTAGCGCTTCCGCTTTTATCTGACACAGATTAGATTTTATTGATTATGTCCAATATGCCTGTAATAATGTCAACTTTTATTTTTCAACATTCGTATTTCCGTAAATAGGTATTAACATTTTACTCAGCACTTTGATACACTGATAGCTTCAGACTTTTATCATAAAGTATCTTAAGATTGATAAAAAATGTGTTAAATATTTCCTATGCTGATTGTACTATTTTAGAAATTTATGAACAGGTGTATAGTTTATCAACGCTTTGTATATTCCATTTCCATCAACAACACAGTACCTATAGAAGTAACAATCAATGAATCAATACGAGTGTACGCTAGTGTTGTCGCGTGTCATAAAAATGTTTGATAAGGACATTATTTACTGGACGTGTACCAACATAGTAGCATCCCATTATCAATGCATCGACAAGGACAGAAAAAATGTTTCAAGCGTTGATGTCATCGACGTAAAAGACATTAGAAGTGAAGAGCAGATTTAGAGATATCTATGCTTTCAATGTCGGACTTCGTTTGAAAAATAAGAAATAAAAGTAAGATAGTGGATAATATAGGAAATTAGAAACGGAAGATATCCTTTAAAAATACATCGACGATAAAAAGAATTCATTAACCACCACTATAAACATTTATTGCTAATACATAATCGAAGCTTAATACGTTGACTGTTTTACTGTTTCGACAATATCGTGATGAAATGCATCTGTTTAACTTTTTACCATTGAGAATAAAAGTATATTTACAAGTTAACTTATGTGCTTATTGTTTACATTTCCACAGTGCTGTTATTTATATTTACAAGATTGTAAATGTTATTGTTTAGAAAGTGAATGTTTTGACGTAGAATTTAATGGCGCCGATCACCGGTGACCATTCAACGTATTAACTAGAGATCATGGTTTTGAACGTGTATTAAAAATACGCAGGTACTGAAATATACGAGGACACGGCAAAACACGGGTATTGAAAGACACGAGTACGAGCCATTACACGTTAAACCGCACGGGGAATTGCGACCATAGTCACCCATTTTTTTACAAATTTACAACATTTCTATCGCTTTTCAAAGATAAACTATAAAAATTTCGTTTGGTCATCTCGATAGTTGGTAGTTCTATCGCTTATTGTCACACACAGAAAGATATATATATACATTTTACACTACCTAAATTTTATTAATTCAGTAATTTATGAGAATCGAAGGACGTCAATATTTACAGACGTTTTAAGAAAACCATTAACATTCTATTAATACGATGAAATAAAACGCATGATTTTAAAAACTACATTGACTGAAACACGTGTATTTATATACACGTATAATCGAGGTCTCTAATAGTATAAACGAGTGAGAGAGGATTAGACAACGTCGCTTTGAAGTCGTAAAAGTTTGTCTATCTTAATTCTCAATTAGAAAAGTAATTCCGATACAACTATTGATGATAGCACACTTATCTTGCTCTTTATCTGCTCTTCAATGATTTTTGTACTGTTTTCATTTGGATGTAATCTAAATTCTTACCAACATTCCAAACACACTTCTCATGAAAAATTTTAAGCATCCTTCGTTCTTTAAATACAGAAACTTTTACACATTACATTGACTCCCACCGGCAAAACTTAAGTAATGAAACAATCTTTAGGAATATTATATATTGTTTCCTAACGTTTATACGTAATTGAAATCTTTTGCTCTGAAACTAACGATTAATATTTATAGTAGAATCTTATAGAATATAGAAAATAAGTTTTGGTATAGACTAGGAGGTTCAAGGAGGCTAGAAAAACAAAAGCCATGACAATTACTGGTTTAATAGTTGTCACGTTTTTAAAAAGACTGTTCTAACCATATAACAGTTTTATAGGGGATGGTCTGGTAGACAAAATACAAAAGTATATAACTTTATATAATCTTGCGAAACATGAAAAGAAGATTATGTTTTTAATTTTTTCAAACAATTACATATGCAAATAATAAAAGAAAATTTATATCATACAGTCTTTAGTTAATTGGACTGATTGTTAACTTTTGTCGTAGGCATATTATTTATATTTAAATAACAAATTTTTAATTAAAAAATACAGATTTTTAAGTCAATAATTTATTCTTTCATTTTATGTGAAACCTTCAAATGAATAATACGAAGTACCAATGTAAAATAAGCTTGTTACTTTTACATGCTGACCATGAAGAAAATTTACAATGATATAACGATAGTTATGTATCGTTTTAAAATCGTAATAATCATAATAAATATAATGTACTCGTTACTGCTATCAAATAATGCATTGAAGAGAGAAAAGTGTTTTATGGTAGGTTAATCAAAAATTTCATGATCTCTGTTAAAGTTCTGTTTCTTGATTATGTTAAAAATACATTTAACTTGTATCATACTATGCTATTATATTATTTCTTGTCATTAGTACAAAATATAAATCTTAATAAATTCTTCACTGCACCCAATGCTATCTACATATAATACAGTGATAAAATTGAGTAGAAAAAATGAATGTAGATTTCATACCACCCAGTATTATTAGAAGATCCATTAAAACCACAATTGTTTTCTCATCGTAGTATGCATTAGAAATATTATTCCATCGAGTATAAATCATCCGCTTAAATATACCTTTCTATTCTAATACTTAGATAATCCAGTTCAACAGCTCAGAAATCTTCTGTTCCAAACGCCATAACTTCTCCAATTTTTCATGTTTTTCTTTCAAAATAGGCATAATCCTGGCGTAAACTATCTAACTATCTGCACGCCAACAATGATTACATCGTCGAACAGGACCATAAGACTTGTATAATATTCAATAAACATAAGAAATAGTAAAACAAAAAAGATTATTTTTGTGCTTTAAGACTTCCTCTTTACATCTCAGTAAGGTCAAGTCCCATATTACATATCAGTAGTTAGTCTAAAAAAATTCGTAAATATCACTTACTTTTACTGTCGCTACACGAAAATCCCCTTGTTACCGCAAGAAACCAGTGTTAATACTTTGCTGGCGGGAGGGTTTTGGTGTTTGAAATATATACAACTTCAAGTGTTCTAGAAGTATTTAGAAACTATTCCTTAACTTTTATTTGTGAAGCTTTACATATAGAAAAAGTGATTTTTCTCTATTTTATGCTATTCTAGTTCTTATTTAAGAAAGACGTGCTACTACGTCAACCACACTCAGCTTTTGTGTCTGAAAAAACGTACTTCTACGTCATCCATCATCAAAGTGTTAAGTCAAAAGAGTATGTAAAGTCGTGACAGGGTTAAAGAAACGAAAACACGATTAGGTCAAAATAGACCCAAAGACCGTAGCAGGGTTAAATATTTCCAACAGTGTAATCTGTATATTGTCGCAAGTACACAAATCAATAAATTAATCCATGGGCAATAGACACGCATCAAGGAGAGTGGACCTTGGTTGGTCGAACGACAGCGTCAGAAATCATTGCGTCAGTTGAGCCGCGGGAATTCGTTTCAGAGTCCCTGCACGTGCTTGCGATATAACGCTGGGGGGGGGATGCAACCGGACCGAAATAATTTTCACTCTCCTAGAACCTCCGACGGTGGAACGGCGAATGGGGAGGGCGACGCGACGGTTTGAATTTATGGCAGCGAAAAGCAATGCGATCAGTCGAACGTGCGCTCGTCTCGGCTCGTCGAACTTGTATGACGGAATTTCGAATCCGGTTCCCGTCACCGCCGCCATTTTTCCGCCGATGACATCGGTCCGCGGCGATTTAGGAGATCCGCTTGTTACTTGTCTCTCTTTTCTCTTCCCGTATATCACGACGGTATTAATTAAATGTTCCTGCGACACTAGACCACATATGTCTATGTTAACTCTGAGCAGTCCAAAGTGTTCTTGGTATTCTCTTTTGGCCTTGTATAAATATCATATAATTTAACT